GTGTTCAGGTGGTCAGTCTCACCTGTGGACAGGAGGTCAGTCTCACCTGTGGTCAGGTGGTCAGTCTCACCTGTGGACAGGTGGTCAGTCTCACCTGTGTTCAGGTGGTCAGTCTCACCTGTGGACAGGAGGTCAGTCTCACCTGTGGTCAGGTGGTCAGTCTCACCTGTGGACAGGTGGTCAGTCTCACCTGTGGTCAGGTGGTCAGTCTCACCTGTGGTGGTCAGTCTCACCTGTGGACAGGTGGTCAGTCTCACCTGTGGACAGGTGGTCAGTCTCACCTGTGGAGCAGCGCCCTTTGTTCTGGACCATGATGGGTTCTTTGCCCTCGGTCTGGGCTGCCAGGCTGGCGGTCTTCAGCGCGCAGCCGCTCAGGTAGGTGGTTCCGTCMGTCCCGCAGACCTGGTAGTTGCTCTTGCACGCGCACACGCCCATCCTGCTCTTCTTGTTGCTCCTCACGCACTCCAGTCCGGACCCGCAGCGGCGCGCTCCCGCGCTGCGACCCCCGCACAGTTCCCCGTCCGCGGCCGCGCAGACCGGGCAGCAGCCGCACGCGTCCCGCAGCGACCCGGCGGGACAGCCCCGGACCGGGAGCGGAGCGCACCGACCCGGGTCGCACGGACCGCAGCCCGGACCCGCTGACAGCACCGGGAGGCTCGACAGGAGGATCGGAACCAGGAACAGAACGGTGCCGCTGGACTCCATGGCGGTCTGAACTGGGTCAGAACTGGACTGGGGTCTGAGTCCGCCTGAGGGGCTGATGAGACCCAGCTGACTCCGCCTCGCAGAGAGAACTGGTCCCAGATCAGAACCAGCTCTGTTCAGGGTTCGGATTCACTGGAAACTGTCCATAAACTCAGGTTCTGAGGTTTCTTCCCGGTCCAGTTAAACGGTTCTGAATTTAATTTAGTTTTTTATATCTAAGTTTTGACTCAAAGGATCCAGAATTCCTCAGGTTTAAAAAAAAAAAAGATCTCCTGAAAATGTTTTTTCAAAATAAAAGCCTCAGAAAGAACTTCAGAAAGTCTGGATCGGACCGTTAAGTCTGGCTGCTGAAAAACATCTAAACTTTGAAGATTTAATGAGAAAATAAATTTAATTTTAACAACTTCATTATTTTCAGAACCTTTGGCTCACTGCAGCAGGAAGTCGTGCTTAAGAAAATAAAAGCATGAGAACTTCATTGTATTTATTATGTTTATTTGAATAAAATAAACATGATTTTAAAACGAAACTGATGGATCAAAAAAACTCAAACCAGCCGATTGTTCTGATAAAGTTCTCCAACTGATCCAGTTTCAGGTCCCGGACCGGTCCAGACTTCCAGTCTGTGGAAAAAACAGGAAACTTTCCCGATGGAGATCACGTGTTCTCCTTCCTGTTTTTGTTTCAGGGATTTTTTATAGAACAGAGGTCACATTCCTTGTTCCAACAGAACTCCGTGTCTGGGTCAGAACATCACTGCTGGTTCTGAAACCAACCCACCAGAACCCAAGAGGATCAAACAGAACTTTGATGTTTGAACTGATTTAAAACATTTAAACAGAACAAAAAACTTCAGGTCCAAAACCAGTTCYGCTGCAGAACCAGATGCAGTCTACAGAACTCTGTAGAACCCTCCAGAACTCTGTGGTACTCTGTGAGTCTCTGTAGTACTCTGATAGTCTCTGTAGTACTCTGTGGTATCTACTTGCAGTACTTTAAGTACTTGACGATGAAGGCGGACACCAAGTCTCAGTTCGGGGAATCGGACCTCCGGGTCGGCAGTCGGAGGATTCTGTGGAACTTTGGCGAGCGGAGGAGGAGGTTCTGACCGAACCCGACCAGACTGGAGCAGAACCAGTACAGAGCCATGGACTGTTTGGGGAACAAGAGGAAAAGATGTTAGAACTTCAAAATAAAAGCATGCCATAACGGGTGATCCAAATGAACCAGAAGAAGCGGTTCTGTGGGTTCATTCACGTCTAAAAATCAGACCCGAATCAGAATGTGAGTCTGGACCAGTTCTGATGAACTGGATCAGAACCTCAGACCTGCAGTCAGGTCCTGGTCCAGGTCTCAGAATCAGCAGTTCTTTGGAGCTAAATTTCATAAAGTTTGTTCAAAATTTTAAA